GATGGTAGTGGGCAGCGTGTGGATGTGAGCCCCACCAGCCAGCGCCTCCAGCTCCTTGAGCCCTTTGATAAGTGGGATGGCAAGGATCTTGAAGACATGCTGATCCTCATCAAGGTCAGTAGTGTAGTGGTGGAACACCAGCTATGACAGGACTGCTCAGCCAGGAGTTTACACATCAATTGCTAGAAGCTTTGGATGTGCCTTTGAGCTATCTGTGATTCCCTCCCCTACAACCACATTTCTGTGGGAAGTGAATCAAGGATCTTCCTTCCAGGTGTTTCCTTCTGTTACTTCTTTTTGTTATAACTAAGAGACTTTTCTCCTTTGGGCTAGTGGTTAGCTAGTGCTGTGATAAATGAAGCTTGTTATACGATGTCATAGGATCCTACCCATACCATGCAGGCTGCAGAATTTGTCCCAGTTACAATCTGGGGTAGAAAGGTGGGTGGGTTCTTTAAATGCCATCTCTAATACATACCTGACTGTTGTACGATGTGTTTTATCTGGAATGAGGTAGTTAAGAACTTCTCATCCATCAGTATGTGTGTTCTCCTCCCATTTTATATAACATTACTTCACAATAGTTAAACATTACATTTCAGTCTCTTAATGAAGACAGGGGTTTCTCTTCATTGGCTGTGGTGAGTTACGAGGATGAAAGCTTCAGTTAATACAGTGATTGGTTCTGAAATGCAGCCCCTTAGAAACTGGCCTTCAGGGACATTGCTGATTCTCAGTACACAGAGCTGCAGGTACTCTAAAGGGCCATACTGAGCGTGCTTGACACAGGCAATTCCTTTGCAAGCACCCTGGCACTTACCAGTTGGAAAACCATTATCTCTGGTTGGGAATTCTGTTCTTACAAGCTGAGGAGGCTTATGTGCAGTTTGGAACTTAGAGGAAACACTTGGCGTCTTGCTGGACTCCCCCAGCAGGGATGCTGAGCTGTAGCAAGAAGGGCTTAATTGCATTTTGTACCTGCAGAACCTCCTGCTGAGAGAGGGGAGGACATGGCAGGGAGGTGTCATGGCTAAGCTTGTTTCTGTGATTTACCTTTTGGAACGAGGGATGTTCTCCCTACGCAGCGCATGCAGAATGACCGCTGTGTTCTGCCTTAGAGTGCCATCATTCTGTAACAGATGCAGTTGTCTTGAGTTTGCGCCTTTAAAAGAGAAGTGAGGATTCTTCACAATGAAAGTACTGAGGAAGGGTCAAGTCCCTGATGCATCATCCTAAGACATTCTTCTCTCTTCCTGCCCTTTAGGTAAAAGGGAAATGCACCACTGACCATATTTCTGCAGCTGGACCGTGGCTCAAATTCCGTGGCCATCTGGACAACATCTCCAACAACCTGCTTATCGGTGCCATCAACATTGAAAATGGCAAAGCCAACTCTGTGAGGAACGCCTTAACCCAGGAGTTTGGCCCAGTCCCAGACACAGCCCGTTACTACAAGGTGAGGCTTTCCCATGAGGCATCCTGTTTTAAGAGGATGTTTACACGTTGGGCAGCCTGTGCCAAGACTGAGGATCTCAGCCTCCAGCTCTCAAGTAACAGCAGCTGTGATTCACTCAGCTTTGAGGCTTTTTCTTGGGTCTTCTTCCTCTGATGATCGCAGTTCCTGTAGGTGGTTCTGTCCCTACCTGCTATGGGGAAGAGGGTCTTGTGACCCAGAGGGGGCCAGAAATAATAGACAAAAGGGGAAGAACTCTTCTAGTCACGTGCACACCTTAGAAGGCATGGGTGTCATCAGAGTGGGACTAAATCTTGCCTCTTGGAGCATTTAACCTGTGACTGGTTTAATGTTTAAATATGTTCTAATCTTGTCCTCTTCATTCTTTAATGCTTGGCTTAGAATCTGAGGTGTCCTTTTACCCTCTGGACAGCTTGGCAAGGGTCTCAGGTTGCTTCTTCCAGTAGACAGAAGTTAAAATTGTCTTCATTGCTTCCAGAAGTAGAGCAGGGATCACGGCTGGTGTGAGTGCAGCTCTGACACGGGACCATGGAAAGGAAGGTGGCAGCAAAGATTTGCTTTGGTCTGTTGGAAGTGTTAAAAGTGGCTGTTGGGAAATATTTGGTTGCCACTTGCTTTCGAACTTGGAGTAATGCCCCCGATTTCAAGGAGATGTGCAAGTGCCTCAATACCCATACACACAACCCCCCTTCCATTTTAAAAGCTAATTTAAAAGCAGGCTGAGTTGAAATTGAAGTGAAAGAAGAATTTATTTTTAGAGTCCAGGTATGTTTTTTCTGATGAGTCCTCTCCAGCCCTCATTAGCGAAGGACGGCAGTGCCCAACTGCTGGGAAGCAAGCACTTTATCCCAAAGGGAACCTTCTGGGAGAAGGTGTCATAGCACAGCTATGTCACTGGTGCAGCACTGGAATTAGATGTGTGGGTGGGTGTTTATTGTTAATTCCTCACTTGAGTGACTGCAGAAATGTAAATCTCTTTCGTTTGTCGCAGAAAATGGGTGTCAAATGGGCAGTTGTTGGGGATGAAAACTACGGTGAGGGATCAAGCCGAGAGCATGCAGCCTTGGAGCCACGTCACTTGGGAGGCAGGGTCATCATCACCAAGAGCTTTGCCAGGATCCATGGTGAGTCACATTTCCCCTGTGATCTGTGTAAACAGGATGTATTTGGTTTGGGTGGAAGTGGTGTTTACCTTGCCCCACTGTAACACCTCTGGGCACAGACTCTACCTCCTGATAGATGATAAGGTCCCTCAGGTCAGGAATCCTTTTGTGGGTCTAGTTAGATGTGACACAAACAGTGGAGATCCTGATTCTACTACAAAGACAGTAACTGTTGCTGGAACGCTACTCTGAGTGCCAGGAAGTAATCCTGATCTCCTGCAGTGTGTTGTTACAAGTGTGCTTGGTGGTTTGTTCTCTGCAGAAACCAATCTGAAGAAGCAAGGTCTACTGCCTCTCACTTTTGCTGACCCAGCGGACTACAACAAGATTCATCCTGTGGACAAGCTGAGCATCGTGGGGCTGGCAGACTTTGCACCTGGGAAGGTAACTTCTCACTGCACTCCATGGGCAGGGATGTGCCAGTACTGGGGAAGGGTGTCAAGAGGGGCCAGAGGCAGTGCAGGTGCTGCTGGCCATGCGAAGAGCTTGACTCTAGCAGTCTAGGGAGCCATAGAGCAAGTCAGAATCAGTGCATTATTCTGAACAGGTATGAGAAACCCTGGTGTGGTGGTATGAATTCCTGGACTTTTGCTACCTTAAGCACCAGTGTTCCCTGCAATGAACTGGGACCACAGTTTGGGTTGGAAGGGACTTCAAAGCTCATCCAGTCCCAGCCCCCTGCCATGGGCACGGACACCTTCCACTAGAGCAGGTTGCTCCAAGCCCCATCCAACCTGGCCTTGAACACTGCCAGGGATGGGGCAAGCACAGCTTCTCTGGGCAACCTGTGCCAGGGCCTCAGCACCCTCACAGGGAAGAATTTCTTCCCAGTATGTGATCTATGTCAAGACCCACCCTGAGCTACAATTTTCCATTTTCAACTCTTTGAAAACATGTAGGAATTTTCCTGTAAGAATTCAAATAATTTGCTCCCTTTTGAAAGAGAAGGGGGGGGGATAAAATCTTTCTTCTTCCTTTAGCCTCTGAAATGCATCATCAAACATCCCAATGGGAGCCAAGAAACAATCATGCTGAACCACACCTTCAACGAGTCGCAGATAGAGTGGTTTCAAGCTGGCAGTGCCCTGAACAGAATGAAGGAGCTGCAGCAGAAATCCAGCTAAATGTGCACAATGTGCCCTGTGCACTGGACTCGATTCCGCTTCGGCATTTTCATCAAAGTGCAATTCCATGCCTCCTGTTGGAATAAATGTCTGATCAAATGTAACCATAGCTTCCTTTTGTTATGGTACTTCCTCTTCACTGACACTACGAAAAGGGAGTGCAGCTAGGCTTACTTTTGTCTTTTAAAACTCCCTTTTTCTATTTTGGCTCAGTTTCAGTTGTCCCCCAGTTATTTATATTTGGAAATGACCGGCTAAGGTGGGTTTTGTCTGTTCAGTTGGTTGTTTTCTGCCCATTCATTTTACTGATGGCTAAAGATTAAAAATGAAAATAAAGAATGTGACCATCTCTTCTGCCATGTGTTACTGTATTCATAGTCCTGCTCTTCAGCCCCTGCTTCCCCTGTCACTTGCTGGAAGAGTGGGAAAGGATTGCTTGGAGATAGAGGGTGGTACATGCCTTCTCCTCAACAGGAGCCTGAGGTTGAGGAGTATCCTGGTAGAACAGCATCTAAATCCATGCAGCTACCAGCTTCCTCCACTTCTGGGAGCTCTGACCCTGTGAAATGAGAGCTGAGCTGCTTGGAGGTACCAGGGCTGTTTGCTACCCCACAACAGCCCCTTGTGCTGCTGAGGCTCTAACTTGCTTCACCCAAATCTCCACTGCTACAACCAGCTGGGGTTTGTGCAAGCAGTTTCTTCCATGGCTGGATGATTGCATGTCTGAGCACCACTCCGCTATAGACAGCACTCTCTAAGCGTATTGTCTGAGCAGATGGACTTCAGTTACTATGTGAACCTGAAGAATTCCAGGCTTCCTTTTAATTAGGGCAATGCACCAGGAATAACAGCTCAGAATTAAGGGGTTCTAACAACACTGCAGGGAGGGTGCTGGTGACTCAGGCTTTGTTTTCCCAGTCGGAGGTTAAGCAGGCCCACTATCCCAGGGAATTACAGCCCCTTCCTGCCAAATGTGCCTGGCTTTGTAATTAGGTGTAGCATCACTCTCTTGGCAACGGGCCCTGCATAGATTTTACTGTTCTGTTGCCCCCCTTCCCTTTTACTGCTGTCAGGGAGGGTGATGGCAATTGTTTGTTATTGGCTGTCAGAGAAAAGTGTTGGTTGCAACACTGCCTGCCTTGAAATCCAAGTAGCTGAACTGCAGGAGGCAACTCTTCCCTTCCTGCTAGTCAGGAAGCTAATAGTTTCCCCCCACAAACTGAACAGGAAGGCAGGCTGTGTGGTTTTTACTATTTATTCCATTTCTTGTATTAACACACCCCCATGAACAAGTATTTGGCTTGTTCATAGCAGCCTTGGTCCATTTCAGTTCATAATTATCTATTTTCAGTTGAACCCCTGCAAAGTTTATCTCATTCTATGTAAATACAGCTTGTACAATAAAGTATTTCCATTCAGCACAATAAGCAGCATCTAGCATTCCACGGTGGCCATCTTCACAGAGCCCAAGTTACTTTTAGGTAAACTACTATTAACAGTTCTTTTTGACTGACTTCATCCATGGATGAACTCCCTATTCCCAGCAGAACATTACCACCACCACCACCTCTCCTGGCAGCAGCATTTTCCAGGTACCACACCTCCATTAACTCCAGTGTTTTCTTGTTTCATTTCCTGTCAAAAGAAGGGCAGATTTCTACCCCTCTGAGATCAAGCTCTCAGCCCAAGGAAGCAAACCTCCTTGACAGGCATTCTCTCCTGCTTTCACTCACTGAAGGCAACTCCCTTCTAGATTCAGACAAGCAAAGACCTCCCCAGTTTTCCCTGCAGGGCAGGAGACCAAAGCTCCAGCTGAGTTTCTTGCTGCTGCGCTCAGGGCTTTTTGTGCCTGTAAAATCACTTCTACAGATGAGTGGAGACATTTCTTGAAAGCAACTTGTCTCTATCTGGCAGGCTGGAAGCTGAAGGGGAAAACACAGAATGGCAGGTCTAATTTCTCATTCAGCTTCAGAGGAGCAATGAGCACCAGCAGGATCCCATTATCCCCCAAACATCCACCGGAAAGACTTTCTGTGGAGCAGGCTCTGATGGCAGCTAGCTGTTTGTCCACCATGACAGGAGGCCCAAGCCTGGCTCACTGATGGATCCCTGTTCACAGAGAGAAGAGAATGTGCATAAAGAATGCAGGAGGAAACACATCAGAACTTACTATCTCACCCCAAGTTATGGGTGAGCTACTCACTTCCCCCCACCACCAATCACAGCCTTCCCAGCACTTGCCCAGGCTCGTTGAAGCCTTGTCAACACTACCCCCAATGTTCAACACTTAAAATTCAAGCACCCATTCCACCTCCTGACTGTCCCTACATTGTTCAATGGTTTAGATCCATCTTCCTCTCACACCGTACTCAGGTGGGTCTTATGCCAAAACATGGAATGGGAAAGAGAGTTTAGCTGCTGTGTAAACCTTGATGTGGTTCTCCCAGTGCTGTACTTCTCCTGTGCTCATTCCTACATGCACAGCCTGCACCCCCAGTCTTCTTTAAATCAGCCCCCCAGGAGGAACTCTACCAACAACCACAAAGTGTTCCAGTAAAAACAGACAGCAAACACACAGCAGCCACAAGAACAATCATCTTGTTTCTCCCCTTTTCCACTCCATTCCTTTTATGACTCTGCTTCACTATCAGCTTAAAGCAATCCGTTCCTCAGGGAAGGGATGCTATTTTAGCCATAGAATAAACCCACAGCATTCACAAAGCTGTATGAATAATGCACACGGTTACCACAAGAGTGTAGGGTGCCTCTTTCTTCTGGACTTCTTCTGTGGCATTGGAAGCGGAAGCCTCTGCAGAGTTTGGACCCGTCGGGGATGTATCAACAAATGTCTCATCCACAACTCGGAAGCGGATCTCCTCCCCAATGTCCATGTAAAGGTCGTGGGCCCCTTCTTCTGTCTCATATTCCCACACCCACACCTGCTCTGCTTCATCGCTGGCCATGCCAAGGGTTAAGGAGGGAAACTATCAGTGTTCTGCCTGACAGATCACTTCCTGACAGCTTTGAGAGCAGACTCGATTTAAAGCCTTTTCACTATTCTTTCTCCAAGGGCAGTGCACTCTCCTCAGTGATCACCTGCACAGAACCCCCATCTGGTTTCTGATTTTCCTGCTTCAAGGTGTATGCTGCAGGGCAGAGTCTGGGTTACCCCCACCCCCATAAAAAACAACAGCAACAAAAAAGACTCCCAAACAAACCCCCTGAAACCCAAGACGACCTCACCTTAAGTGTATTACACACGCATGTCTATCTCGACATCACACAGTGTGGTAAAACCTGCATCCTGCCTTCAACAGCAGCCAAGACTAGAGGCAGGGATTAAAATGTGGTTGTTCAGGGGCTGCTGCTGTTCATTTCCATTAGCAGGCACAATGATCCTGCAAACCCATGTCTGGCTGCGATAACAGTCTGCAGGACTTGCCTGACACAACGGCTTAGCTTCTGCCACTGAGCACCTCCATTGTTGCAGCAGTGAATGCTGTTGGGCCAGCACTGCACAATCCTTTGAAATGAAGTAGTAAAGTTATCAAAGGTGATCAAGGGATACAACTTAGCCGGCTGCTGCAGCGATTCTGGTGGGATGACAATATCATCAAAGAATCCAACAGAAACTGTGGAGAAAAGAATCTGATGAAGACTGAAACAGTTCTTTGCAAATGATGTACCACAATGATTCCTATAGTGCATTTCTAGACTCATTCTTCTTCCTCTTTCAGGAAGGAGGTAGCGCAGGAATTACTCTTTGAGCCACAACACTTGATTTTAGTTGGCAGCAAAGCAACCACCCAGCTGAAAGTCCATACAGCAACAGAGGGCACAGTCTGTGTGCCCACTGGGAAAGGAAAAGGCTGTTTGGAGCAGGACTGGAAATGAAAGCATTCCAAGAAATGAGTCAGATGCTATAGAGGTCTGCAACAGAAAACAGCTTAGAAATCACAGATGTAACATATTAAATGCAGACCGATATAAAGTTAGAACAGCCCCCACCTCCCCCCTGAGATTTCACAATGCTGAATTTTATCAGAAAGTGGACATGCCCAAATTCATCAACACAAGCAGCCCGGATAATCTTATTGTCTTAGCTTAGCAACAGAGCAGAGGAGCTTGCCTCTGTGGAACACTCCTACAAGAAAGGAAAGCAACTCATCAATTATGTATTCCCTGAATCTGACAGCACTTTGTGCTCACAAAGACATTTTCCTGCCATGTTTTTAGGTGCAGGAAACAACCACGGATTTGCAGAGAACTGTATGGAAGATCTATCAGATCAAGCAGATACTACCACTTTGAAAAAACAAGTTAACTGAAGCAAGAAAACAAATCCAGTCTATGCTCCAAATGGGGCTGCCTGTTCTTCTTGGGCATGCACACGAATGACAAAAGGAGGGGGGAGTGCAGACAAAACCATTCAGGGCAGGGGAAGCTGCCAGGCTCAAACCACCTCAGATAAGAGCAGTGCTACAGGCCAGTAATAGTCTTTAACCAGGCTACAGACAGTGCAATACCACCTGAAGTCACAGCATCTCAACAGCCCCAAGAGCTCTGCCACTCGTGTGTCCCCAGTATTAGAAGCTGCGGTTTACCGTGAACACCATCCTGACTGCAGCTTTTAATCTGTCCAATGAGGATCTCGTCCAAGAAGGGATGGAAGACCACGTAGCGGAAATGGACTTAGAAAGAAAACAGATCATTAATAATATGCGCATGTTAGTGAATTAAACTCCTTCCACGGGTTGGCAGCCATTAAAACAAAATCCCACATCCTGTACGCCCTCTAAAATGCTTCCCCAGTTTCTTTTACCATTTCCTTACAGGCACTGATTAGATAGAAAAACGGGAACAGGAGTTAAGATTCCTAACTAGTTTGTATGAGTTGTTGCCCAGCAGTGCCCTGTTCCCTCCTCCTCAGTCTTGCCAGAGTTTAAGAACACAGAATTAAGCTGTAAGATGAACAACATGGAGCGGGGCCTGTGCTAAAGTTACGATCTGAGCATTCCTACACAATGCTCCAAAGCCAAGAGTACCAGTTGAAATTATACTTTCTCCTAATACTTCTGCGCCTTTTACCTTTGTCTGCAATGCTGTATCTTCTTCAGATAAAATAACTGATAGCACATACTATCAGAGTAAGGTACTCATAACATAACTGGATTTTTCATCCAGTTTAAGTAACATGTTTCTAACTAAGCATTTTGCATGTGTAATTATTAAAACGCTATACTAAACCAATCTTACCTGAACAATGCTATGAGCAATTTAACATCATTTTAGCTGTCTGTACTCAATGCTCCTCTTTTACGTAAAATCAGTTACAGTACCTTAAAGAAAGAGTTACTACTAGGATTTATCGAAGTGCCATTTCAGATTCTGAAAGCAGACTTTTTCCCAAGCTCAGAGAGAATACATCCTCTCATTTTCGGCTCAAGGAGTAGTTCAAAGTTAAGAAGCTGAACAGAGATTAAAGCAAGGAGGAAAGCCTGCCATCCTGCTTAAATATTAGAGAAAGCTTTTATTTGAAGGGAGCAAGTTCTCCTGGAGTTAAAACTTGGACAAGGGGAGCCACATGCAGTCAGTCAAGTTTGCTTCTAACAGGAAACACTTCACTTGCTCAAGCTCCACTTCCACAGTGAAAACTGGAACTGAAAAAGAAATGCATCTCTTTCCAGTTTAAATAAACTTATTTTAACTTTAAAGTATGACAAAATTTGGTTTTACGCATTTACTTCCAGTTTTCACTCAGACAGATTTGTCAGAAGTCAAAGCAAAGAAATTAGTCATTCCTTATTTAAAACAGAAAGTCACTAGAAGTGTATGCTGAACCAGATCTGTCTAAGTCTCAAAGATGTAGCAAAACTTCCAGCTAGGAAAACAGCATCAAATGCTGTAGAAACACTTTATGTAGAAAGGTGTTTCAACATTCTAGCTAGAGAAAATAAGCTTCAAAAAGAAACAAATACTAAGAACACACAAAATAATTAATACAACTGATTTTCTACATGCAGATTTCCAATCATTTTAAACTAAATTAACTTCTTCCGCACTCCACACCTATATCTCTAGCGGTAAAACAGAGATGGACTGCTGGCGAAAGCTAACAGGACTGGCTATTTAAAGCTATGCTTGTACCCAGAAGTGCAAAGAAGGGACTTTTGCCATGTTTCTCTTGCACTCTTTATAGGAACGGAGTTAAGGTGACAAACTTCAGAAGCTCCTTTAAATTCACTTTCCTTAACAACTGAACCCAGTTTACATTTCCAGGTCACTAACCCTCTGCAAAACCATGTAACTGAGGACAAGCACATACCTTTGGTATGAGATGCACCATCTCCAGGGAAAATGTATGAATCCTCCAGCTTTGTGATATCATACAAACAGATGCAGAGGCCGACATTGTACACAACCTGCTCAAAGAGAAGAATTAAAAAGCAGTAAGTGAAGCAACCCACCAGGTTAAACCAAGTAAACCATGAAATTTATACACTACACACACCATTTCAAAACAAGGGCACAGAAGGGTGGCTGTTTTGGTACGCTCCCTTCAACAGCCCCAGCCCAAACCTCGCTGCACTGCAGGGGAACCCCAAACCTACCCAAGTGTTGTGGGAGCAGTGTTTTCACTGGCACTGCAAGGAGCATAGCTACAGAAACCCTTGGGGCAACTGTCAGTGGTGAGAAAACTCGACAGTTGCCAAGATAGCAAACAGTTGCCCACAGACATCATTCACCAACCCTACAGCTTGTCCAAAAGCTAAACTTACTTTCTGCTGGAGTTACACTCTCAGGAGCCTCTAGGCTTGCCTTTGTCTTAAACTAAATCAGCTCTGGGGAGAGCCAAGGACAGCTCCTGGTTCCTCTGCTACTTCTGAGAGGGCTTCCCAGCATACACAATCTGAGGCCCCCACCAGTCATCAGTGGAAGCCCTTTGCTGTTTATCACTTGTCCCTGTAACCTCCTGTTCACAACCCTACATCACTTGAGGTTGCTCTTTTGAGCACCCCTCACGTTCCCTGCCTTGCACTGAAAGCCGTATGCTAATCGCAGTCTCAGGGCTGCAGAGACAGAACACTTGTTTCTGTTCTGCACCAAAGACCAACTTTTTACTGACACGCTGTATTTTGAGTACTAAGCACAGACCAAGACAACTATTAATGCCTTAATTTTTCTTCCAGTATTGCTGTTCTACACTTCAGATGTAAGACAAAATTCTTCACCATGAGGGTGCTGAGGCCCTGGCACAGGCTGCCCAGAGAAGCTGTGGCTGCCCCATCCCTGGCAGTGTTCAAGGCCAGGTTGGATGGGCTTAGAGCAACCTGCTCTAGTGGAAGGTGTCCCTGCTCATGGCGGGGGGTTGGAACTGGGTGAGCTTTAAGGTCTTTCCAACCCAAACCATTCTATGATTCTACCTTCTCTTAAATTCCCTCCTCTGGATGGATTAGTTTGTATCAGCTTTTCAGACTGAGTTTTGGATTGCTACTCTACACATAAACAGCAGTTACTCTTAATTCTCCCCCATACTTCTCTGCCCCATCTGGTATCTCATTATATTCCAATTACAGCATTAGCCATTAGAAAAAAGGTCCCCTTTGAGATAATACATGGCTATCTGTTTACACTCTCCTGTATTTCAGTTACTGGGGTGGCCTTCTCATCTATTCTGACAGCTCATCCACACGTCTCATTAGGAACAAGAAACACTCAGGGATGTTATGATGCCTCCACCAACCTACACATGACCCACGCTTTACCTTATTGGCCAATTTCTTGTTTAGCTCTTCCGCAATGGAATCATTCAGTTTCCTCTCAAACTGCCAGGGAGCAATCCTCACTGTGTCCGTCATCTCTACCAGGACAAACATGGTGGCGGGCAGCACCTCTGAGGAGAGCGACAAGCACCAACCGCTTCAGGCACCGGAGCACTGCGAAGGCAGCCGACACAGCTGGGGAACCCCCAGTGCCTTGCACGGAGCTTAGCAGGGCAGCACCCTGGCTGTCCTGAAACGAGACAGGACACGGGGGTCTGAAACCGGGGAAGGGGGTTAAAGGCTGCCACGCAACGGGTGGGCGACCAGAGAGCCGCCGTCGTATGAGTATGGGGACGGGGACGGGGACGGGGACGGGGACCGGAAGCACCTCACCCACCTGTTACACGCGGACCACCACCACACGCTACCCGACTGCACAGCACTTCCGGCGCCTCAGCCAATCGCCTCCCGCGGGCGGGCGGGCCCGCTCTGATTGACGGGGGAGAAAGCCCTCACGGGACGTAGGGGAGGACCCTTGTAGCGACCCCGCCCCGCGGCCGCCATTTTGTCCCTCCTCAGGGCGCGGTGGCGCCCGGCCCGTTAACTGCGGGGGGCTGGCTATGCCAGTGGAGGGGGCTGGTGGTGGTCAGTGTGAACATGGAAAGCCCCTCAGTAGTGTGCGCAAGGCTGCGCTTTACCTGCCCCCCACCCCAGGTGTCTTCCCCGGGCAGTGGCTCGTGGGTCTAGGCTGATGTTTCACCTGAAGCAATCCCCAATTGCAGTTGTAGTCACTTCATTTATCATTTTCGTCTGCTTGTCCCACAGGGCAGCAGAGGTCGAAGTCTGCACCTTTCCAAGAAGCAACACTTGAGCTGTTTGCCTACCTAAACAGCAACTCTGGGTGGGTTTATAGCCCACTTCCACCTAGCAGCCTGCTTCAGAGCAGTGACTGCCCAATACTTAGGTCAAGGTTATTGCCAGGGACAAATAGACATCACATAGAGCCGGCATAGTTTATTCTGTGCGTGTATTAAGAACAGGCATTCTGCAGCGAGTCAAGCAGCATGAGGGATGAGAGAAAACAAGGGGGTGTGCTCATGTCTGTGAGAAATGAAAGGAGGCCGTTTGAAGTGTGCTTAAAAAAGGATCCACCAGGAAAACCAAACATCCCTGGCTGACAGTCAAAACTGCACTGTCAGCACAGCGGCTTTGATGCCAGGGCTGAGTGTGTCATCCCCGACCGCCCCCAGCAGCGCATAGCGGGACGGTAATGAGAGGTTTAGGTGAGGAATCATTAAACGTTGAGCTACGTTGGGACGGGAAGGGGAGAACAAGGTTGGAAACACCACGGTTTGGCCTCATTAACAAGATACCTGTCTTGGCCAAGGAGTTTCTGATCTCTCCGCGGTTACTCCTGCTTCACCGGGATCTGTTGGGTTGTGGGTTTGTCCTTTGTTAATGACCGGTGTGCACATGTTGGCCATGTGTGTGTTAAATGGGCCCTGGAACACCTTTTCCCCCGTCAACAACGTGAGAAGAGCGTTTTCCTTCAAGCAGCATCCACCAGCTGTGCAGGGAGCCCTGCTGGCGGCACCGCAGCCACTGCTGTCTCAGAACACCTCAACCCAAATCCCCAGTGCTGCTCACTCTTCCCGTCCTACTTCAGGGAGCCTTGAAGCGGCTCCTGCCTCCTGCGCTGCAGCCGCGGCTGCGCTAATCTCGGCGCGGCACAGTTCTGCTGGCACGCATGCCGCATCCCTTGCTGTTCTGTCCTGGCCTCACGCAGCTCTGGCAGCGCGAGGTTTGACCTTTAGCTGGAGCACAGGTTTTGTGGGTACCTGGAGCTGTGTTTTTAGAAGAGAGAAGAGTTCTGACCTTTTTCTGGGTCAGGGTCCTCTTCTTCTGGCAGGGGAAGAAATAGCCTTTCTATAACACAAGGAGGTATAAGTTAGACACTTGATACTGGCAAGGATACTTTTGTGTGTAAGAACTGTAGGGCAAGGGTTGAGGGGAAGAGCAGGCTGAATAACTGGGAGGCATGAGAGATGGAGAGAAGCAGCTTTGAACAGAATCATAATCACGCTTCTATTTCTAGCCTGTCCTTGAGCTAACATTTCTTGTGCTTCCAATAGCCATGCCCCAGCATGGGGGCTGTTGGGTACCTGACACAAAGCATTTGCATCTCCCATCACCCTGATCCACAGCCCTGTGAGCAGTGGGTCCGTGAGGCCTTGCTTCGTACTTGCGTATGTCTTATGGTTGGGTCTTTGGCGTCTCATAAAGTGCAAGCACCAAACAAGGTCTTCTGCACTGGGGATGTGCAGATTCTCTCTCATGTGTCAGCTCTATGATTACCAACAAGGGATGAACGCTGCAGGCTGTTCTTCGGTAGGGCAACAGATTCTTCTTCTCTGCATAGCTATGTATTTTGGGAACACTTGCAGGTACTTTGATACTACTCTGAGGAAAATGAGTTTAAATGTGTGGAGAATAAGCTGGCAAAGGCAGCATTGAATGAGCTTTATTGCCTTAGATACTAGGCTACAAACACCTCCAGAACTGAGTCGGGCCGGCCATTTCTCACCCTCTACCAGTAACATCTCAGGCTGTGGGAAATGGTTTCCAGTCTCACCCTCTGCAGGTAACCCCCCCAAATCCCAAGCAGTGTGCCTGGCCCTTTTTGCACATGATGGATGTTGCACTGTTACCACCTAGGTTTTCTCCCCAGAGGAATTCCGTATTTCAGAAACACCATCTCTAATGTACAAGTATAAACAGAAGCCAAACTTTGCCCTGTAAAACCTGAGTGTTGTCTCAACTGAGCTATGATAGCACTAGGAGTTATACCATGTTTAAGTCAGCAGCTAAGGTATCTTGATGTTGGAGAACAGCCTTCTGTCTCTTTCTGTCCCAGTAGTACTGACACAATGAATATCCACAAATCTGCAGGGCCTCTATGCACCTTTTCATACATAACCACAACGTTTGTGAAGTCTCTCTCAGCAGTATTGGGCCTTTTCCAGTATTTGGGAGGATGGTTCTCAGTTGCTGGGATTGGGGTTTTTTTGACACTTAAGCTGCTGGGATTCAGGGATTGCACAAGGGTCTTCCTGTCACCCAGAGAAAATCCCTGACATTTCTCATTCTCACAGCTGTAGAGGAAAACTGGAAAATACTATCTGACGTTACCTGAAGGCTCAGAAAAGGGAGGAAAATATAAAGAACTCCCAAATTATTTTGCTTTAAGATCTCCTCTGCCCCACATCCCCATTCCTGTTGGAGAAAACTGGGTAAGAGACGTTGGAGGTGAGTGGTGATTTGCATCTAGACTGTATTGGCCCTCCTTTGATTGACTCCAAAGGAATTGTGTATCTTCTCACTTACAGAGTCCTGCATACTCCTGCCATTGCTTCCACCTCTGCAGGCATCTCCAGCACCCCCACTGTCTGATCAAAGCTTCCCCTCTTCTCCTTTTGTAAGTTTTGGATGCTTCAGACTCTGCTGCAGCACATGCCCAGAGCCACCTTCCAGTCAAACATCCTTCGAGTTCCCTGTGCCTTTTCTGTCAAGAGCCTTTAGTGATTTCATGGCAGAGTCGTGTTCTGACACTCGTCCCCCTCTGTTCAGTTGATACTGTTTGACTGGACACGTCGTTAACCCTGGTGTGCCACAAACCAGGCAGGGAAGTACAGGTATTTATGATCTTCAATGTACAGTGTACAATGACTCTTCTGGCCTCCAGCTGTTTCCAGCTCAGGACCCTCCTCATGTGTAGAGCTGTCCCCCAGGAGAGGATGGGCCATCTCAGGAGAAATTCAGGATGGAGACTGAGATCCGGCTGGGTTTCTTCTCCCCTTCTTTTGCAAGGTTTTGAAGGGTAGAGTGGGGAGATGAAACTTTGGTGCCTGTAGGGGGGAATGGGCCTCCTGTTTTGCTGTGGAAAACTGCTTGAAAAGGCTTGAGAAGAGCAAGATGGGAAATGGCAGAACCTACTGTCACTTGGGGTTTCAGTGCTTCTTGCCATGGGCTGGTCTCATCTGTGAGCAGGGCCTTTTTCTACACTATAGTTCATTGACAAGGAGGGACACAACCACTTTGTGGTCTGGTGCCTCTGTCAAAGCCCCTGGGATGGCCACACATCAACACCCCACTACCTGGATGGATGGATGGATGGATACAGCCAAGTGGAGCTGTTGTTACCTTCTGACTGCACCATGACTTACAGCTTCCCACACTACTGGTGTACTACCCTGCAGCATTGGTCATTGGTGGAACAGCTCTGGTTACTACTATCACATTCACCTATGTAGAATAACTCAAGGAAAGAGCTGTGTAAGAAACCCAAAGCAACCCACCACCACCCCATGTCACAAGACGCCCATGACAGCTCCCTGCAGCACTGACACTGCGCCATGGTTGGTTGGGGTTCTTGCAAACTTTATTCCAGGATCACAGAGCCCTGCGTGTTAAGGTACTGGTGTGGTCCACCCTTCTGCTCCAAAATGAGGCTGATACCACCTAAATTCCTCCCGAAGGATGCCTGCCCAGCCTGTTCTAGAAACCTCCAGTGATGGAAACTCCGGTGCTTCCCCAGGCAATCTACTTAAGTAATTAACTGCCTGTTCTGTTAGAAAGCCTTTCCTAATGTCTAGCATCAATCTCACTCCTTGCAATTTAAACCCCACTACTCCTCACCTGTTCCCCAGTGGATACAACTGATTCCTGCCCTCATTGCATCGCCCTACGCCCCCAAGAGAGAAAGTCTCTGGCCAACTTGTGATGTTGCCTTTCCCATGGAGATGGCTGTCCTGATCAGAGTCATGTTGGCAGAGGGGAAACCAGAAAGGGAAGATCTTCTAGGCTCAGTGTGCTGATAGAAATGAGGCCAGAGCAGGGGCACAGGGCAATGGGGTGGATTTGTGGCATGTGCTCTCCTGGCTGTGCTGGGGGTGACTGCAACACCCATGGATGCTTGGGGGCTGCAGGCTTGGGCATATGGGGAGAGTGGCTGCAGCACCACCAGTAGGTCTTGGGGTGATATGGGAGAGGCTTGACCCGTTGCAGGGGACCCCCCTGGCTTTCTGGCCTGTTCCCCCCCTCCAGTGCCTGTGGGGCTGCCCTGTTGCATCCGGC